ACACTGACAACACTCTATCACGAACCCATCATACACCACAGCATACACTGACAACACTCTATCGTGACCCCATCATGCACCACAGCATACACTGACAACACTCTATCGTGACCCCATCATGCACCACTGCATACACTGACAACACTCTATCACGATCCCATCACGCACCACTGCATACACTGACAACACTCTATCGTGATCAACAGCAGAGATTATTAAAGGGAGGACAGCAAACTAAACCTTCCAGGACTGAGTCTAAAGGATAGAAAAGGGTCATGGTGGCAGCTCAAGTAAGAACAGTAACACAGACAAATCCATTACCGTCCTACAGCATTTACACATACCAGTATGAACACTGTCCCAGGTTTGCTTTCTCTCTCTCTTTTCATATAGCATGATGCTTCGTGATCATTTCATAAACAGCAGAATGATTTTACAATAACAATATGTGTCCATACTGGACCTAAACACTGGGATCAGCTCTAGTACAGCAGAATCCATTGCCAAACAGTCTCTTTCCCTGGATTTTACACCTTTGGGTTGGGGGCATTCACCAGCCTGGTGTTTACCTGGATGCCCCCTGGACTGGGCATAGCCTTTATTTAGCTCAGGGGCAAATGAAAGCATGTGCCCTAAATCACCGGGATTCTTGCCAGGGACATTCTGCACCTCATCACCTTAGCCGGTCAGAGTGACCACAGCACACAAAGGGAAGCAGTGCATTCTGGGAATGTTTACAACCCCAGTTCAGGCACGGTGCTCTCCGCTGAAGTGCCGGAAGGGTTGGACACAATGATGGAGGAAAACTCTGCGGCATCGGAGGAGTGAGAATTACAGTCACTTTTTGTTTCGATCCATCCAGCTGGCTCTTTTTGCCAAGGCGACTAACCGGACTCACAAATAATGATCAAAGGATGAACGAGACCTTCAAACTCCCCGAAAAAGCCAGGGAATGTGGGATGTGAAGTAAGAGATACGCACATATATTTATAACTGATAAAACACCGTGTTCCAAAACACCTGTCCTGCATGCTCCGGACGGCACGAGGTTCCTGAAGCTTTTTAGAAGCCAGGCCACATGGTGCCCGCCCTTGTCTTTGCTTGCTGATTGGCTGTCAGCGTCGTTTTCCGGGACATTCTTTACATGATTGGCGAGCGTGCACAGCCGTAATGGAAAGGCCATGGCAAGCAGGACCGGGCGAAACCGCGAAGAGAACTACAGAGAAAAATATTACCCTCATTAAACAAAAAAGGAGCCTTCAAAGGAGTGTGCTTTGTTCATAAAACCAATGGGGCTTTCTGTGCAGCACACATGCGCTGGATGTGTTGGCCTCATTTGGACAGAACCCTGAAGCATTTCTGTCACTTCCCTTAGAAGGAGAGAGATCCGGTGTATCACTTCCTGTCAGCAGGGAATGCCTGAGAATGTTTGTTGACAACAGCCTAGCACAGAACATCTATTAGCTCACTGCCGCGTTGCTAAGGGTTACCTGCAATGTTCTGTAGAGGAAGGATCCTAAAATTTCAGCGACAGTACTTTGACATGGTTGTTTTTTTCCAGTCCTTGACGCTCACATTCAGCTGCAGAGATAATAAGTGACACAGATTCCTCTCAAACAGTGGAGGAGCAGATCTGAATTAGTTAAAGACTTTTAACCTACAAGATAAATAGTTAAGAGTGTAGAGCTGCAGTGGATTCTGGTATTGATACAGGAAGCCGTAGAGATGTCAGGATGAGCCGGATTACCAAACGTAGGATTCTGCCAATCACCTCAGCATCCAACAGGGTTCTCAGTGAAGAAACCTGTTGTGACTAAAGGTCACTTGGGATCCATTGATCACATGATTTTCTGCACAAGCCCTGTACATAAGCAGCAGAGGCCTGTGGCCTCTATTTCAGACTCCAGCACCTAATAATAGGATCTCGCCTCAACCCACGGAGATTCCGTACCACTCCTCGGCATTCCAAGAAGGATCCCTCAGCCTGGCTTCTGACAGCAAGAACAAGTAGCACATTCCGCCCTTCTTACCGGCGTGGTGGAATTTTGCTCATCATACATAAAACTACAGACGATTGTACTCGAAGGAAACTAATGAACAGAAGAGCGCACACTGCAAAGCAGAGATTTTTTAGCAACTGAACATGACAATTTGTGGATATGGCTGGAATCATTACAGGGAACCGTGTGTCGGTGTGTGTCTGTTGGTCCTGTAGCTCTGTGCCTGAGGAACAATGGTGATCGTAACACTGGGTGTTGGTGAGTTAAGTAACTGGACTTAAGGCCAATAAGCTGTAGAGTTTTATGGAAGGAATTAATATGTTAATGGTCACCAGCATATTTAACCAGGGGCCAGATTGCCTCAGCTAAATAAAGAACCACCTGTAAATAAAAACCTGGAATAGATGTATACCCCGCGGCTGGGCAAAGATCTCTCCTTGTAATGCAACAGAAGCAAGAAGAGGCTTGTACCTCTCTGCTCCATTTGATTGGCCGACTTTCCCTGTTGATATTGACGAACTGTCTGTATTCAGAGAAGTTGGCATTTCAGCTACTTCCCTCGAGCAGCACTCTTGAGTGCCGACAGCAGACAAACATCTCATTAATGTGATGGAGGAGGGAGGGAGCACGTTCACTCTCCTCGAACCGAAGCAACGTCGCGTGACATCAGCACGTGACACCACGATGATCATGACGGGATCGGAACGCGGAGCGACGCGTTATCGCCAGCACTCGCACGCCAGCTGAATCTCCCAGCGACCTCTGGCCTACTTGGCCACACCGTGTCCTTGGGTGAATCTGTACAGGCCTGCAGATTGCTAATGAGAGGCTTACAGCGAAATCGCCCCAGCGCACAAACTGCGCCGGTACCTCAGCGAGAGAGCAGAAGAGCTGCGATCCAAAGCTCGCCGAGGATACCAGAATGTACAAGATGGCCCACAGACAAGTCCGGCATTATCGCTCGGGGGTGAGGGGGGGGGAGGCACTTCCTGTCCAGCGCGACTCAACATTTCCACGGAAACGGCGGATCAGCGACGGAGCTCCACCAGAGAGCTTCTCCATCCTTGAACAGGCTGCATTATTTATCGCACCGGTGTGCCATTACATTCAGGGAGCTACGCTCGTTTCCTCAGCTTGAGCGGGGAAGGCACCATCGCAGTGATTCCGGCGTCACGCCCTGGGTGCACACGCCTTGGAACCACTCGCCCACCTGCAGGGCAACCATCTGTCCCTCCAGCGTGCCCCCCCCCCCCCCCCCCCCCCCCCCCCCAGCCCCCATCCCTGTAGCCTTACCCAGCAAAGCCATGCATCGCAGTGCTGGTATTTACAGCACATGCACTCAATTTACCCTTCAAGGGCCCCCTAGAAAACTGTCACTCCCGCATTCGTGTCACGGGGCCCCCTAGTGTCCATAATCCTCAGACACACAGTGAACCCTCATACTGACAAGTTGGGGAGGGCAGGTGGGCAAGCAGGAATGTTCTGATGTTGGTGCCTCCCGAAACAGACTCTGTGATAGCCATGCCATGTCACCCCCCCCCCCACCCCGAATTCCAGCATGTGTCCAATGGCAACACGACACACAACACATACATACACAATTACACACGCATAACTAAAGTATATCTTCAGTAACAGGATACCATCACTGTAAATAGTAATACCAAAATGTCCACCCATGTCACTATAGCATATTCATTGGTGCTACACGTTAAGCAACACATGTTTTTTCCCATCCATCCATCCACCCTTCCATCCATCCACCCTTCCATTCATTCTGTTGAGGATGTTCTGCAGCTTACAAAATGCGGCATATACAACGACATACAACAGGCAATTTTATGAAGAAATACCATCAAATACGGCTTAAGGAGCACCTACTTCCGTATAATACTGATTGTCTCATTATTTTTGCTATTAATCCCAGTTGGAAAAAAGAAAGTTTATCAGAAGCGCCGCATAGAAATGCTGCGCATCAGTTACCCCCTTTTCCGGCAGGTAATCCACAATGTCATCGCACGACGGGGCTGGTTACCTTTTTCCTCCGGCATGGCTGTCCCCTTTCTGGACCTTAATTTCAGTAACATCCAGTGCGAGCGGCAGCGTTTGGCATCGTCGGCCGGGCTGTGCACGGCGCGGGGCGGACAGAGAGAGAGAGAGCGCGCGCGCTGGCGGTGGCGCTCCGTCTGTCACCGGAGACGCCCCGGGAATGAGCACCGGGTCATATGACTCCACAACCGAGTTACAGCTCGGCGATGGCGGCCATTGAGCAGAAATAGAACCTCCCGGTGCTAAAAAAGAAATAATAAACCCCTCGGTGGCTTTCCCGGGGGCGTTTACCGCAGCAGTGCCTGGAGACGGGCACTCAGCGACGCGCACATTGCCGTTTATATGAAGGGCACATGTAACGGACCCCCCCACTCCCACTTGATAAATATTACATTTTCATGTAGCGAAATCTCCTTGGTTTATATGACGATTTCATGTTGCCGATCACCCTACATTTATATAGTTACACGTAGGCTAGCGGATTCCCCTTGATTTGTATGACGGTAACCGCCCCTGATTTATAACGATTCCATGTGGCGGATCCCGCTTGATTTGTATGGAGGTTACATCTAGCGGAGCGCCCTTCATTTATGCGAAAGTTACGTATAGAAGTTCCCCCTAGATTTAATCTGGATTTACGGGGCGGATTTGTGACATGTTATTAATATTTTAGGTAATAAATGTATTATGAAGTGTTCAAAAACAAGTGTTTTACTGAAACTTTGTAGGTTCTTGAAATGATTGAAGTTAATTTGCGAAATATTGGTTATTGAATGTATTGTATGTATTAAAGGTACTTCTTTATATATTATTTATAATATCAATTTATATTATAATATAAGTGGGAAATATATTAACTCCCCTGGACCCAGACCAGGATAGACAGAAGATGGGTGAATAGGTGGCTATCTATTAATTACTGTGATATACTTAATGCAATTGGTATTATCATTAGTTTTCCTTTATGCATGTAGGTATAGTCATAATTAATTCGTAATTCATAATTCATTTTTTTACATTAAAATTTTAAGTAAATCAAGTCAGTTAAGATAATATTTTCAGATTTCCCAGCAGTCCCTGGGGCTTGCCACCTCACGCTGTTCTTCACAAGTCAGACCAGAGCCAAAGAGCCCAGCCAGTTGCTGCAAATAGCTGAAATTTTACCATCCGCATGCGGTGTTCAAGGTCGCAGCCCAGGGTGGCACTAACAAGACCCGGCAAGGCAGAAGGCAGCAAGAGATCGGGCAGGCCTTCTGCAGAAGGCAGCAAGAGGTCGGGCAGGCCTTCTGCAGAAGGCAGTAAGAGATCAGGCAGGCCTTCTGCACAAGCCAGGATGTCACACTTTCTAGTTACTTTGTAATGCCAGAAACTTCAGTTCCTTAGCTGACAGTTTATATCCAAACCAGCTTAATCAGTGAAGGCATTTCTGCAGCTGCTTTCTGCTGGAGAAGTTCAGTGTAGGAACTTCACCCAATGGGACCAGAATACGACTCCCCCCCCTACCATATACCATATAACCCAAAACAAGGATAAGGATCTTCTCCCACATGCCAGGTGTGACACAGCTAATGTGGCTACGCCACACTCAACAGCACATCGGGAGGAAAAAAAGATCCCCTCACAATTAAGTCTTTTCATCGCATCCCATTAAGACACCGTCAGCTATATAGTGGTCGGGATCTTGGCTCGTATTTACACAGCTGCATGAGCACCAGTGGTATGCAAACAGGCGGCCTGTCGACTGGGCATTTCGGAGTGAGGCAGCCAGCTGGCTGCGTTGCTGTCTGCTGCGTGCCCGGTGCTGACGTGCAGCATTAAACGCAGTCGAGTGCTGATACCTTTATTGATATTGTCCTTCGCAGTGACATCCCTCCATCCCTTTTCTCACATAGAGCACGCAGCTGAAAACTGCAGTCATGTCAGAGATGTCAACTTAATCACCTGGAAACTGGAAAATGCTTTTGTCCAGAGAACCTTACAGTTCCACAGCCTGTTCATACTGTAGTACCACTGGGTGTCATTGAACAGATCTGGGCTGCATCCCTTCATCAAGTAGATAAGAGCAAAGTGCACCTGGTGCCTGACTATTCCATCTGGTGACTGGATCCCTCACCACTACAACACCTGTTGCCATGGGGACATCCCAGCAGACATGGATACATGTAGGGTATCTGCATAACACCACCTCTCATATTTATAGCAACCTTGATGAAAACGCAAACGCTGAATTGAACAAAAATTCAAATTAAATTATGTGTGAAATTGTACCATGATGTATTAGTTTACGAACAAGTCAATGGATTCAACTAAATGAACAGACCACACCTTCTGTGTGGCTGATTAGGTTAAGGCCTCTCCAGAAGTTTGTGGGTTTAAATCATCTAGCCATCAGAATAATCATAACACAGTTGTGCTGTTAAAGAAGGATCAAAACCCCAACTGCTTCAGGGATGAGGCTGACCTTGGTCTCTGACCCTAGAATGATCCAGCACTTCTCTTCCTAAATACAACAGAACATGAACGGCTGGATGATCCACAAACAGTAGTGACAGAATGTAAAAGGTCAGGAGGAGTTGAAGGGAGGACAAGCGTACAAGGCTGAGTCCTCCTTCTCCTACCTGGCAACCCATACCATTGCAGTCGCCATTTCTCCAGTCTTGACTGACCTTCCTCAGTTCATGGTCTGTATATAATGGCAGGAGAACAACTCAGGGCATGAATATCTCTTAAGCAGTAGCAAGCAGATGGTCAACAGGCTTCATTCCATTTTGGGGGCAGAACGCCATTTAAATGTTTGCTGTGACCAGGATGGGGCATGAAGCTTCCACCACTTGCTGTCAAACCCTCACTACACTCCCATTAAATCCCCTGAATTGTCACCTAACAAATATCCTTATTCTAACCTAACTCCTATTACTTCGAAAGGGATTTGCCCCATAAAGCTCTGGATGTAGTGCAATGAGAAAAGCATTGTACTGCTAAAGCTAAGGTCATGGGTTCAAATCCTGAACAATATACACAAATTGCTCTTCCCTCTAGTATAAGGTGCTTTGGATGAACACATCAGACAGACAACTGGGGAAAAAACCCTCTTTCAGTACAATAACAAGTCAGGCATGCCTTAGCAAACATATCTCAGAAGAAACAGTGTGGGTTAGCAGTCTGTGCCTGTATTTGGAAGGTTGTGAGTTCAAATCCCACAGACAAATATCTGACCCAAAGCTATGCTCTCATTTTTATATCTGTGTGTCTCATAGGACAACAGGATGGGATATGTGAAAATTAAATTTTGGTACTTGCTAACTGCACAATAAAATCATTCTATTCTTTACATGGAAAAATATGAGAATTGCAGAGGTATAACATCTACAAGATAGCAGGCGCATCAGGGATCAGCAGAATCTCTCGCTTTAAAGTGTAAGTTAAAGTTTAAAGTGCCTTTTCAGTTTTTGACACTTGTTCACAAAAGCTTCTCAGCTGATACATTTTCATGTAAACAAAGTATTAAAACACAAGAACCGCTCTCCGTCTTACAAAGGGATGGGAATCGCCCTGCGATCAAAACTCTTCATCTGCATCATTCCACGGAAGCATCTAGAAGATGAAGGCTCTTGGCACTTGAATCCGTATGCAGTCTCAGATCCACTCCGGCCTTTCTGTAGCTGGACCCTCAACAAAGACTTGGCCTGAGCTGAGCTCATTCCTGCTGCTGAGACCCGGGAGAATGTGGGCTGCGGTGGGGAGGCGTCCGGGCTGAGACTCCAGACCAGCCCAGATCAGAGGAACAGACGACATGGTCCTCAGGTCTGCCAGGGAGATGACGCCCCCTCCGACAGCCGGGATGCGTATGGGCTGAAGTCGTTTTACCTCAGGTTTTACCCACCCCAGGGTGGGTATTTGCTTTAGCCTGAAGAGTAAAACCTACTTATGAGATGGTGAGTCCCAGGGAGCCAATAGGAACAGATTTCATGGGAACTGTGGAAGGATGAGCTTATGGGCTGGGGGTCCAGGGGAACGCGGAGAGAAGGAGGTCAGCAGGCAGAAGGAGGGCGGATTATCCTGAGGACCCCGCAGTGGCTTAACAGTCAATGAGACAGCAGTTCGCCTGATAGACCTCATTTCTCTAGGACAGTGTTTGTCAACCCATTCCTGGGAGGGAGCAAAAACATCTCTGCATCTCAGAGACTGCGGATAGCTTCTCATCACCCATATCTCACACTCTAAACTGCAAAGGCCAGTGCGCACTGTGGGCCCTCACTCTCACAATCACAGTTTAACACCTGCAATCACTTTCCGGGCTGAATGGATAATAAAAAGGCGACAGACGCCTCTCAGGGTATAATCAAAGTGTCTGATTTCCAGTATGAGCTAAATTGGGCCGATTAAATGTTATATCCCCGTAACGGGGAAATTCCTATAAATACGAGCAGCGGTTGGCTCACTGCAGACAGATCAAAGGCGCTCACGGAGGATCCAGACATCAAGTGACACCATGACCAAGCTGATCTGAACGCTATGTTCAGATACCCGGATGAGAACTGGAGAACTGCATAGTACATTTCCATACAAAGGTGTGGAGGTTTCCTGATTGGCCAACAGGAGCTTCACTTACCTTTTATTACTTTGCTTGTTTTGTGGGGTTATTAGCGTGGTACCCTGCTTTTATCAAGTCGAGAGAATTGGGTTCCATTGTCATAACATCCATATACAGGTACAGGACATCCATATACAGGTACAGGACATCCATATACAGGTACAGGACATCCATATACAGGTACAGGACATCCATATACTGGACATTGTGGCATTGAATATCACCCAAGGACCACGGTGCAACATTAAGTGAAAGGGACGTTTTTTACTTAAAGTGCAAAATGTGGGACGGTGCCAGACAGAGGGGCGGGACAAAAAAACCCATAATTTATAGGTTCCATGTAACTGACAGCTCTGCTACCAAAATAATAAATTACCTGTAACTTTCATAACTCCCATTTTCCATAATGTTCCTAACAGCTATTGCACAGGCTGATTAGACACGACTAATGTTATCTCTGTTGTTAAGGCGGTTTTCCTCACAGAGCGCCATGCGGAATAATCAACCACGCTACATTTGATAACTTATTTCCCTTACAGAGACACCAGCGACTGGTCCCCTCTGACTCTCTAGCTACAGTCAATCATCTAGCCTCTTTCGAAGCTGGGTAAAACCCTGGGTGGTTCGGAAGGTTCTAGAACCCAGAACCTTTGTGCTATTCAAGCATCATCAATCACCAAACACAGAAGCCAGACAAAACCTTAGTGACACAGA